TATATATATATATATATATATATATATATATATATATATATGTGTGTGTGTGTGTGTGTGCGCGCACGCGCGCACGTATAGATCATGCTGTATAGGTGAGAGGGGGGGAAACATAGCAGCAGCCCAATTCTAGAACTTGTTGAACCAGCATGTAAGTACTGAAGACAAAGCAGTAATTGTGCTCTATCGGAACATTTTATTTATTTATTTGATCTGTTAAGGCCATCCAATTCCAAAAACACTCTGAGTGGCTTACAAAATACCAAGTAGATAATTAAAAAACTGTTAAAAAAATAATAAAATTTAACTGCCTGGATAAAACAATAATTTTCAAAAACCTAACAAGGGTTCCATAAGCACCCTAATCCCAGGCCTTGGAGCAACTGTTTTTTAATCAGTTAAATTATGTCCAATTCTCAGAGACTGCCTGGATAAGTCTCTGCAGTTTTCATGGCAAGGTTTTTCAGAAGTGGTTTGCCATTGCCTCTTTCCTAGGGCTGAGAGAAAGTCACTGGCCCAAGGTCACCCAGGTGACTTTGTGCCCAGGCACAATATTATAAAGCATGAATTCACAAAAATGCTACAGGAACATCAATGCGGTCTCAAATATTTTTAAATAATACTTCATTTAAACAAGTTTTACTTCAACTTAAAGCACCACAATAAATAAAAATAATACAGTACCACTAATGTTCTCCAGCACTGCTTCTGCATAACACAAAGTCTTCATAAAAGAGATCAGTCCATATTTTTCTATACAAATTTGCACAGTGGGAAATATATGTTTTCTAGGTGCAAGGAGAAGCAGTCTAACAGTCAATCCAATAATTATGTGGTCTACTAAAACTGGATTTGAAAAAAAAACAAGCTTTTATTATAGTATATTAATTTATTGATGACATTTGGCTGGATCTTTCCTATGGAAATGCAGAAAAAGAAAAGGGGTTGTTGCCAGGAAAACAACAGACATTTTCTTGAAGACACTAAGAATCCAACTTGGCCACTAAACTGATGCTTAACGTCCTGTTACATCTCAATCTCTCCCTCCCTATTAAATTCCCTGGGGTTTCTAAAGAACAAATTGTAATTGCACTCACACTGTAACTATGCAGGATACCTCTTAAAAGCCTTAGTACCCTTTACATATTTGCAACATCTACCAAAAGATTTTAAAATGTACTTATAAATACCAAAAGTAGAAAATTAGTTGAGTTTTAACAAAAAAAGACTAGAAGTCCCAACTAAACAATAAAACATTTGTTTTGAAAATCCAAGTAAAACTGCCTCTTTGGAAACTAAGCCATAATTCATATAAAGAGATGTCTCCACAAGGTAACTTTATTATATGTGATTTGCAAACAAGAACCAGCTTCATCAGATGCACACAGTAAACAAGAAAAACTACTAGGCAGCATGGTTATGCTACATCATAAAATCTATTAAGACATCCTCACAAGACCAGCAGCAAGCAATACAAAATGTACTTTCAGACACTGGCAGAAATATTTGTATGCAAAATTGATGCACTTTATTAACATGCTTGCCTTTGCATCTTTTAAAGAATTGTTAATTCTTATAGTTTAAAAAAATGTGAAGACAATTGCTGCAAGGTATTGCAGAACAGAACCTTCAATATTCTCCGCAAGTAGTGTAGGAAACTTATTAGGGCAACAAGCTATGGCTGTGGCAGGAGAATTATTTAACTTCTTTGTTATACTCAGGTCAAAATCATCTCCCAAAGCCCAGCATATTAACTCATCACACCTACCAATAAATACAGGAGCTATGGAATGCTATATAGCGACCGAGGCACTTAAGAAGTAGCAGCGATAGGAAGAGCTATGGTCCTGAGAATTTGGCATCACAGTACTGCGGGGCAGAGCTTTGAAGGCACAGCTTTACAAGTGGTTACAAAGCAGCTTAAGACCCGGGGTACGATCGGGGGAATCTCAGGGTCCAATGAATAGAAGGCCGACAGGGGGCGCAACAGCACCATGTGGTGAGGAGGCGCCGCAAAGCGGCGGGGCACTTTCCACTGGAGGAAGGCTTGCGGGGGGGAGGGGAGAAGCCTAACGAAGACGCGCAAACTCTTGGCAGGTCAAACTCCCCGCAGTGTTCAGCCCCGCCCCGCACGCGTCGACAGACCAAGAGGCTGGCATTCAAGTAGCACACACACCGCACCGCCCCTCGCCTCCCTCCCCGCGTCCCGGTTGCCCGTTACCATTATTACCCATCACGCCCAGCGCAACGCCGCCATCCTGCCTCTTGTCAGCTCCCACGGGAACGAGGGCTGACCTCGCGAGAACTCCCGTCTGAACCACCACCTCCCTCGTCCTGAGCACCAACATGGCAGAAGCGGCGCGCACGTGTCCGTGTGTCCCAGATATACAACAACCGCTCGTACGTGCTCGCCCGCGCACGGAGGGGCGGTCCAGGTCGAGGGGGAGGGGACGTGACGTTGCACGCACGCGCCCCCTCCCGTTCCTTTTCGCAGCTAGGATTCGAACAGGGCGCGCGAGCCGCCGCCGCCCCCCCCCCGCGGCTTCTAAGGAGGGGGCCTGACCTGGTTGCTGTGAGACCGAAAACGGATCCCGCGGTGGGGAGGCAGACCTTTCTTTCCCTTCGTTCTCGGAGCCAGCCGGCTGCTCCACACGTCAGCGTTTGGCCCCCAACAACAGCGCCCGCTGGGCTCCCCTCAGCAGCAGCGGCAGCTCCTCTTCCGCTTCCTCCCCCCCCATATTCCCTGCGCAACCCGCGAAAGGGGGGCCGCTCCCTGCAGCTCCGCCTGCTGGTTGACTGAGGAAGGCGACTGGGCTGCCCTGAAGAGGCGGGCGGTTTGCGGAGACGCGGAGGGACGGCGCGCCCTGCCATCGGGCTGCGGGGAAGGCGGGAGCTCAGCGCTCCGCTTCTCTCCTTGGAGAACAACCGAGCGAGAAGCAGTGCTCGCCCGAAGCCAACGGCCTGGAGGGTGCTGCAGGTTGGGTCGTCGCCCTGGCGGGGAGGGGAGGAGGCGAACTCCGGGTTTCTGCCGGCGTATTCTCGCTAAGTGAAAACCCACTCCCTTCTTTTCAGATTTATATACCGCTGTAGCCCAGGGGGCCTTAAAGGAGACTTCCCCAGCCTGGCTGGGAATTATGAGCATGGATGGCCTCAAATTGGGGAACCCTGGTTTCCAATGCGGAAGTTAACTGTGGCTCATCTTTCAGTGTAGCGTTTTATTTAATATACACATCGAAATCTGATTTAATCCTTGTTTACTTTTTTTTTTTGGCGATCACATTAACTGCTTTGAACGCTATGTCGTCGCGGAAAGGCAGAATCTTAATTACCTTGAAAAATAAACTTAGGTGAATTAAGAGATACCCAGCCAAAGTAAATGTGGGTTTGTTTGCAGGAAATATTGTGCAGAGTAGGCTGGTGCGATCACCAGATGACAAACTGCTGGTATCCTAAAACCTTCTGACTATGTATTTCTTTTATTCATGAATATTTATTTTTGCAAGTTAATAGCATAATCAGTTGCATTGAAAATATCACACAGGATATACACTTTCTAAAAAAAAAATAGACACGAATACTGTATTTAACTGCCTAATTCCAGTTAACATAGTAATTACACAGTAATGCCTTTTGAATTGGCTAATTTTCCCGCAGACTTCTCCAGATTCATGAATGAAATATTTTCTAATATTTCAGACAGATATGTAGTGGTGTACTTGGGTTTCAGAAGAACCATCTTTGCACAAGACTCACATTAAGAGTGACTTAGAGCAACTCCATTTAGACAAGCTTTTTGCTAAGTTGGAAAAATGTGTGTTTGACTCCCCCCCCCCACTTCCCCTTTCTACTCCCCCCCGCCCCATTGGGGAATGTACCGGACGAAGGAAGAAAAAAAGAAAAAAAAAAAAAAAAA